GCTGCACATAAAGGAGAGAAAAGGGGCGGGGGACACCGCGGCTGCCGTCGTTCTTGCTGCTGGGTATTCCTGCAGTGTGCAAGCTTATGCAAGAAAAACGGCCTTACACTGCGTCAAGTGCAGCCGCGCCTCCACAATCCGTTGTTGTCAAGACCACATGATAGGGATCGAGTCCGCCCTGTCACGTGTCTTCTCAATATATTTTGCTTTAAGTTTCCCCCGAGTACTCAAAGAGAAAAGTCAAGCGAGGAAGCGAAGTACAATGATGTTCCTATGGGAAATCAAGCACTCTTACAAAACGTGATTACGGTTTTTCCCCCTCTTGAATACTATATATGCATCGCAGTCGCGAGTCGTGGTCAGCTCGAACGACACGGTCTACTGACTAAAAAAAAAAAAAAAGAAAAGTAAAAAGCTAAATACAAGCGTTCGCCTGGCGACCGTATCTCTACGCTTCCAAATTACGTGCCACTGCGGCTGAGATCTTTAGTATTCAGAGAGGCGACATGGAATAGAAACTCCCAGACCAACGCATACGTACATGATGCACGCACCCGTCTGTGCACGAGTTCTTACGCGTATGCAGAAAAGGACAGGAAAAAAAAAAGCTCTCTATATTTACCCCCCGCGTGAGTTGTGGGAGAAGTGCTGGGCAAGACCCACGCGACTGGCGCGTCATGGGCATTCACGTCATAAGAAGCACGTCCTTTATTTTCTGTGGGACCCAGTCGCTGAGGTTGTTAGGAATTGCCGATCGCGTTACGACGATTGAATTTCAGAACGGCATTTTTTTTTCTGACGTATAGGTGGTACGCTTCAGTTTACTTTTCAAGACGCACTGTCCCAACACAAGGAACAGGATTGGGCCCGCAGTGAGACTGTTGGAATTGGTTCTAGGCTGTTATGTGCATGCAACAAGGTAACGCGTTTCCGTCCGATAGAACAACGATGCTGCCGAATCTCTGCAGCTCAAACAACAGCCGTGGAAAAGAAACGTCAGTTAAAGCCAACGCTAAAAACAGAGCTGGAAATTAAGTGAAAATAAATAAATAAACAAATAAATAAATTGAAGGAAAGAAGTAGAAATATTAATGGCCAGTTTTCTTTTGTTAGACACAATACTAATAATAGCTAACAAACATTATAGTTAAGGAAAGTATACGGAAACTTACTAGGCTTGGTAGTACTTGTAATCACGTAAAGGGGAAAAAAAGTGGACAAAAAGATGACTTGCCTTGGGTAAGACTAAACCTGCGACCTTGGTTAACGCGCCCAATGCTCTACCAACTAGGCTATACAGCGGCACTCGTTTGCCCGTCCACTTTATGGGGTATATTATGAGCATTTAAGCGTGGGAGCGTCCGTCAGCACCGCTAGAATATATAGACATGCCGTCGAGTGTGGAAGTAACTTATGGTCTGTTAGTGTTACGTAGCACGTGATTTTATCGCGATGAGACTAGATAGATAGATAGATAGATAGATAGATAGATAGATAGATAGATAGATAGATGTCGTCCAAGGATAGAGGCGGAGAGAAGAGCATGCAAGAACGTCGTCAACCTGAGTTCCTCTTGCACACCGCAAGAGCAGCCCGCTACTTCATCTTCCTGTACCAAAATACAGCTAGAACGTGTAGCGTTGTGCATGCTAGGCACGAATTCAAGCAAATAGCGAATATGGAGACGTGTGTTAGACACGCAACATTACGCGTGTTGTGGAGAAAAGGACGGGCCGCCGTCCCGATGACGAAGCCCACCGTCGACCTCGTCTTTCTAATCTAATCCACTCTTAACAATGATAGCATCACTCGTCGTCATTTACACAATATTCAACGTCCTCCGCGCCCCAACAGTGACGGCTGGCGTCGGAAAAACACTAAAAGCACACATGGGTTCCGAGTGCACAATAGCACGAGTTCCATGTCACTCCTCGTGAAATCATCCGGGTTTCTTCCTGCGCCTGGCTTTCCAGCGATGTTTAGGACGTTTGTTCAAGCCGCATGCCTTTGAACGCGTTGACCTCGATAAACCTTCATTGTAGCTGAGCAAGCTTCCTTCGCATGAAAGCTCGCAGATAAGACTCGTCCAAGAGGATCTCGTGAAGCTATTTCTGAGGAACGTTTTCCTTGGCTGTCTCTTGCTTGCCGCATTTACCTTGTAAGCCTCAGCCTTTTGCCTCTACCTTTGTCGAGTCCGTTTCATTCGTCGCTTAAAGTGCGAGACAGACGGTGTGATTTTCTCTGCGATTCGGCGGCGTGCGGTGCTACGACGCGGCAGCCGGAGTGGTGACGTTTCGTGACGTTTCATCACATCGCACCACCGCATAGCTGGTGTGGCGAGCATCAAACCGGCCAGATATTTTCGTCGCCGCATCGCACCGCCACATGGCAGCACCCAATCACAGCGCGAACAGACGAGTGGCGTCACGATGCTCCCATCATCCGTGGTCCAGGCCAGTTCAAGCGAGTCGATGGAGTGTTGCGAGCGTGGATTTGCTAACATCACCGAGTGCGGTGGCGTGACAAACATCGAATACATTTCCCTGGTGGCGGGATATTATTTCAAATTGAGTAAATTGATGTTTGAAGTGTGCCATTGCTGCACGACAATGCCCGCTTTTAAACCGTTAGTGAGATCGGAGATCGTGAGCAGCGATGCAAGGTCATTTCGCAGGTAATAACAGCTACCGGCTTGATTGATGATGATATGTGGGGTTTAACGTCCCAAAACCACCATATGAATATGAGAGACGCCGTAATGAAGGGCTCCGGAAATTTCGACCACCTGGGGTTCTTTAACCCTAATCTCAGCACACGGGCCTACAACATTTCTGCCTCCATCGGAAATGCAGCCGCCGCAGCCGGTATTCGATCCCGCGACCTGCGGGTCAGCAGCCGAGTACCTTAGTCACTAGACCACAGCGGCGGGGCACAGCTAGCAGCGTCTCTGCGCTTGCTCGCTTCGCTTCCACTTTTGCTCTTTACATCGATGGCATCGAGAAAGTAGTAGCATATGCTAAGGCATTACATATAGTACAAAGCCTAATAGTGTTGTCAAGAACAAGCGCTCGATGACGAGCTCGCGTATGAACGGCGTAGGCGACGGCGGGCGCCCGCCATGCTAGGCCTACCTGTCGGAGTCATGAATAATCAGCTGTTACCGCCGTTGTGACGTGTTTGTCGTCCACGAAGTTGTTGTATTCATTAATGCTTATGAAATGAAGCGTGGCTATGCAATGTTGTTTGTTTTGAGCTTCATTACGAGGATACGAAGTCGTCCGACCCTGCATGCCGAGGCACCGCATTGGGGGCGGAGCCTGCCGCTGAAGGCTTCTTCACCCTCGCGTGTCCCGAAACGTCGCATGCGGCACGCCGCATCGCTCCCCTCCCCCGCCCCCTTCCCCCTTCACCGTTCGTGGTGCAGTCGTTGCCGACGGATCGGCGCACACATGCACTAAAGCGCGGGCGCACCTCCTCCGCGTTCACGGTTCTCACCTCTGTTTTCTTTTCTCTTTTTTTTTCCCTCCTTCCCCCGCGCGCGCCGGTGAACATGAGCGGGCGCGAGTCTCAATTTTTCTTCCCCCCAAAACCTTCCCCCTTCACCATACGTGATGCAGTCGTTGCCGACGATTCGGCGCCGCTTCGGCGCACACATACGCACGTCGGCCGCTTATCAGCGACTGCTATAGGCGGTATTTCTGAAGTTCGAGGCCACCTAAAGAGAGTAAATGTATATCTCTCTTCGCTGGGCTATCCACAGTCTTGATAATAGACAGTACGTAGGAGCGTGCCGCCCGTTATCCGGCACCTGACGGAGAGTGTATCTCCTAATGATGATGGCATCGCCCTTCGTCGTTTACACAGTATTCAACAGCGCGTCTTGATAACACACCAACGTGCCCGAGTAACGACCATAGCGGGATGCGGTCGTACGCAGCTCCTTGGCATCGAAAGTGGCACCCTGTCCTGAACAGGAAAACGACCCTAAACGTTTGGACTGAAGATGCCCGTCAGCCGCGAGGTTGGAAAAAGAGGTACCGATTCGCCTTCCCGCGTCTCAGGCAAAAATAAATAATAATGATAATTTCCGGGGTTTAACGTTCCAAAATTACGATAAGATTATGAGAGAAGCCGTAGTCGAGGGCTCCGGAAATTTCGACTACACTGAGTTTTATGACGTTCACCTAAACCTAAGTAGTACAAGGGCCTCAAGTATTTTCGCTGTGGCTGGGACTCGGTTCAATGACCTTCGGGCCAGCAGTCGAGCACAATACCCGCTAGACTACGATGGCGATGAAAAAGAAACAAAAAAAATCACCTACAGAGGAATATATATAAAACACGGGGGAAAAGGTGGCAACACGAAAAGAACGGCATAGGGCAGGTGCTGGACAGGCATAGAACAAGTCAGCGCCTGTTTTGTGTCATCGTTCTTCTCTTGTTGCCGTCTTTTTCCGCTGTTTTTACCATCAAGATATAATATAACTAGCCCATTTTTGGATGCTATTGCAGTTGTAACACTCAGCACTGCCACTGGATGCAACCTCACAGCATAATTTCAAGTACTTTCTTTTTAAACATTGCAAACTCTTCTTGCGATTCTGCACGTAAATCAGTGAATAAGTGGTGAGCCACTTCTTACAGCAGTGCTATCCAATATGAGGGCAACAACTACTGATTGGCTCAAGAATTCATTCATTGATTCATTCATTCATTTATTCATTCGTGCAGTTGTCCAATAAATGCCAAATGATGACTTTAGGTATATGGTGAGGAGGACATTCGTGGTTTCTTGGCTCTCCCTCAGGCGACTCCCAGTGTCAGTGTTTCCCTATACCAGGCAGGGCAAAAGAAAAAAAAAACGGAGTCGTCCAATATATAGTGTGATTTTGTCTACAGCAGGCACGGCCTACCGCAGTCGTTGTCACACCATCGATCAACGAAAGAGAACCAGGCCGATACCACTCTCGGCCGAAGCATAAAACAAACAACTCAACTCGCGGAAGAGCCAGGGCACAGTAGAAGCGTTTATTCATTTAAATTAGAGTTGCCACATGTACACGGCTTCAACACAACGTCAGACACCTTCTGTGAGGCTTCTGATGCCACTGCAACAATGGCGATTTTACGTATGCCGTATTTTACACATTCATAGCGCCCAGCCGGCGTCACAGGGGCGATGCCTGCCCGGGTTAGGTGAATGAATGTCGAACATACTTCTTTGTTTACATCGTGTATGCGAAAAATTCACACGTGGACGATCTCAATAGAACAAGTCAATGAATGGGCAACTGGCAAGGAAAAAAAAAGTAGGCGGGGAGGAGAAACACAGGGTAGCAGAGGTTTCAGCAGAGGACACGTCAGTCATACAGCACCAAGAGACACTCTCGAGGTAGACTGCGCGAGGGAAACAGAACGAAATGTACAGGTGCGTTCTACAGAGGCCACGCGGCGTGGCACTCGGAGACTCGAAAAATGTGGCACTATGATTCACGGACTCGGAGAACGTTCTTTCAGTTCGCCATGAGGTATACCAGGGCAAATGCACCACGATGCACTCTGAAGGCTGTTCTCCGCGCTTTTTTTTTTCGCTACAATGGTCACTTCGGGAATAACATCGCCCGAACGGGGCTCCCGAGTAGGACAACACATCAACGACTCTAGGTAAAACAAGGCAATCATCAACGCATCACACATATACTATAGGCATACAAGCATCATCAATGACACAATTTATATACTCTAAAAAGCGAGCCGAGGAGCTAAGAGAAAATGCTTGGGCCAAGTGACTGAACTGGGAACAGGAAACTTGAAAACAAACTAGCGCCACCATACTTGCGTTGTTACATCAATCATAATATTCTAGCAGTGCTCAAGAAACTCAAGTCGCAGTGCAGCTAGACCTCGAGATGAAACCCCAAACCTAGAGAGATTCTTGCGGCAGTGTTCTTTTTTTTTCTTTTATTCTGTTATATCAATACTTGCAGCTTACTGGAGCACACATGCGCCACGCGAGGAATTACTTAAGCTGCGTTTTACCTACACCTTAACGCATTTGAAATGTTCTGCGATGCGAGTTGATTGCGAAGCTAGTCTAAATGTGCAGCCCCGAAAATGAGGTAGCTATTTGGACAGAGTCATCAACGCTTCAATAAAGTTGGTTAGTTTTATAATAATAAAACATATAATTCCATGTGCAAACGATGTTAAAAAAAATTAATGCCGATGGTGGTTGAGAGACCAGGCAACGCGTATGGACAGGGCCGCATCTCCGCCAAATTTCACTAGCCAAGTCACCAGATACATGCGCATAGTTTTTTTTTTGCGTTAAGGTGGAATTTTGATGCAAACAGAAATTGTACGTGGTAGTCGGGCCGGCATACGCATTTTCCGTCTTGCCAACGTTTCGGCCATGGTATATTCTCCAACTTCAGACGCACTCTTGGTCATGCTTCAGGGAATCTTGAACCGCTGCAAGTTTGGTACGCACTAACTATTTTTTTGCACGCTCCATTCACACTGTGCTTACCTCCAGACGCACTCTAAGAGCTTTCGTGAGCGGCAGAGCGGTTTGTCAGTTTTGATTCGGAGGCGACCAGACGTGACTAGATGTCGGGGCGCACTTCGCTGCTTTCATCGACGCATGCGGCAGCCGAGCGACATTTTGGGGCAGGTGACTAGTGGAAAAGAAAGAAGAAATCACCGCTTAGCTAGTTTTGAGCGCCATTGCTAACGCCGATGTAAGACGCCCGTGGTGACGCGCTTGGGGATCTCCTGATGTAGAGATTCAGTGGCTCCACCGGTGCATTGTACATCCGCGTCCGGTTAGGCGCACGCAAGTAAAACGATTCCATCACAACGACGACAGCCAAGGCATGGCTTTAAAGCAGTGCAGTGTATACGCTTTTTTGAGAAACGAAAGCGTAAGCCCGCACAGCTGCAGCTCGAACAGTCGAGCAATCTTGGTCTCAAAGTGAGCATATCAGTGACTGAAGAGGGGAATAACATAAAAAGGTTTAGCGGAATCTCTCAGCAGGTCAAGCACAATGGCTGTGCTGAAAAGAATCCGCATAAAGCGACTAGAATATGTAGCCACGCGCTATAAAACAAAAATTTTACTTGACTAAAGCCATGCGTGCGACATTGTAAAGCGTGGTCGAGGCGGAAGCGTAGAATCTGCAGCAAGCGACACGTTCGAATGAAGCACACTCCGAAATGGGGGCTGTGAAAAAGGAAAAAAAAAGTGTGTCCAAGTGCAGGATGAAGCGTGAATGAAGTGGTAGCAGTCTAGCTTAATTACCGCCTTTGTTTTTTTTAAATACTCTATAGCTAGTTGTGGCATCACTTCAGTATACGCTGTGAATATAAAGCGCATGCGTGGGTACACAGGATGCGCGTCGTCTCTCGGTCTGCGTTACGATGTTCTCAGTCAGCCCCGAGCAGATGTCATTCATTTCGAAAGAAATCGTGGTTCCCGACTATGCATGTGGTTCACGTGAGCCACGTATCCTGAAACAAAAGAAAAGCGGCCTGTCCGAGCAAGGCGAAAAAAAAAATAAGGTTTTTTTTTGTGCAATGAAACTTCTAGGCGCGACCTCAAAAAAGGAAAGAGGACGGCGATAATAGCTATATGACGACGTCAATATTTATTTTATTTATTTTTTACAACGAAGTTGGGTACAATGCTTGCAGCTGCCGCATGATGGGCTTCGCGACGTATGCGCAATGAGACTCTTTGATTCCTAAATAGAAGCAAAAAGAACATCATCTAGGGCACACGTTAACAACTACTGGATAAAGGGTAGCGACCATCGCGAAGTGCCAGCACGAGCTTCGTATCTATCAGTGTATCTATATATTAGGCATACCACGTGGACGCGCGTGCCCGTCTTCTTCTCGAGACCTCAGGCGCTCTTCTCGTGTACGTGGAAGCGAAATACTTTTTTTCGATTCACAAGGAAAAGGGATACGCAGGCACTCAGGGAGACACGCTGTACTCGTACTCTGACTCATAGTCCCCGTCATCCGCACCGCATAACAACGCACTTAAAATGTCGAGCCTCGAGCGAAGCCAAAGTGAGCCGGTGGCGACGACAGCACGTCTTCGCTGACGAAGCAATATGATCTTCGGCACTTCGCCAGCAACCGGGAGTTCTAAACCTGTGGGGCCTTGACTGGCATGCTTTGGCGCTTAATCGGACTACAGTGTTTCGTCCTGTGTTACCAAGTGCACAGAGGCATGTTAAAGTTTCGGGGCACGCCTCTTTTACGGTAACACCAGTCGATGAGCTCCGGCACCTGGTGCAGAGCAGCGCGATTTCACGGCCTCACCGTTCAACACGGCGGCTGCTTATCGCCGGCGTGCCGTGCACTTGTCGCGGTCTCTGGGGAACGGGCTTTGAATGGGTCGTAATGCGCGCACATCTCATGCTTCCTATATGTTTCTGTACAAACAACTCTGAAAACAGCTATTTAATGTACCGGTGAGACTCGCGCACATTCCACTCCTTTCTCAAATCGGAGAATGGCCAAACACTCAATTACACACCGTCGATGGCAAACAGCGGCGTCCAAGCGTTAGCTCACGTGGCAAAACATATCACGTTGGAGCAGCACTAAATAAACAAGGGAATAAAAAGAAAAAAAGCATAATATACGGCCACGCGCGAAGTGCAGCGTTCATAATCTCAAGCAATCGCATGTTCCCCGCACCACACACCACGTTCAGAAATGCGAATCGCAAGGGAAAAAAAGTTTCAAGTTTGCCATCTTTCCAGCAAGCGGCTTCCCGTATATAGGGCCGCACTGTGGTTAAACAAATACGTGTCGGCCTTATTTATGAAACCACTGTGTTGGGAGCTTTTGTGGGTGGCTGCGTATTTCTTTCTTGTTCTTTTTTTTTACATCAGATCTCCGGGTTCCAAAAAGATTATATTGCAGATACAGCGTTCCACATCCGTCGTGAAAATTATCCTCCAACTGACGTCCTCCAGAGTACATTCAGCAGCAGCAAAAGAGGTGGCACGTAATCGATGAAGTGCGTGCTTCATATATGAAGATGAAGATGGCGCGCTAAGGCGCTCCCGTAGACGTAGGCTAATGCACTGCGTTAATTAGCCTTTACAGGTAATTTGTGCTGGCACCCGACATGCTTTGAATTAACGACCGCGTTGCATTTGAAGCTCTTTAGGACCTCGTGTGGTGGTGTCAGGAGATTCGTCAGCACGGCGACCAGCTTACGGAACTTTCGGCACGTCGTGCAGGGCATTAAAGCCATCAGCGAGAATTACTCGTTAACCTCCATCATACAGCCCCATCTACATAAGATCCACTTAAGAGGAATAGATGTAGAACAAGACGAGGTACTACTTGCCTTACCCAGTTAATTTTTCGACGGATGTTATGTTGTGTGTTCATTTGCACGAAACGCGAATACCTGGAACTGGATTATCACGTGAAATATAAATTAGAATACCAACCGGGACGACAAACGTTCCAAGTAATATCATAGTTTTCTTCTTCTTGCTAAAAAAAGCTGAAACATCGCGTGAAACAAACACTGCGTATAAGTCAGATTTAGTAAAGCTTGATTGTACACAAGATTTTTAGGGGAAGCAGCACCTAACAGCACTGGCTTGCATAATTTTTAATTCTAATTATATTAGGCGGTTGATACAACAGGTGCCTATGTGACAATACGTTTTTTTCTTATGCATAGCCTAGCAATTATTACGAACACATTAGAACGGGAAAATACTATGGGGAGCTCCACTCCAAATAGGCGCACTTTGACAGATGTTTTTGTGGGAGTGGAACTGGTTACAGTGATATAACGGCAAATTCACATCGCAATAGGAATACAAGCTACCCGACGTAGAAGTTTTCAGCCATGCGTCTCATTGTGAGATATGGGCTCCATCACTAGCACACTCTCATATGCGTCCTGCCACGACACATTTACATGTGGTTGATCCCCATTATATTTAAAGTATGCCGCCATCTACCGGCATCTCCACTTTGGAACTAGAGTAGTTGCATTCGCGAAGGAGCATTCGACATCGGCTTCCTCCTGTCAGAGAAGTACCGGGAAAGCGTGCACGCTTTGCTGCTTGCGTTGAATGCATTCTGAAGTGAATGCAGTGCCGGAAACCACCAACCTAATTTCAATAAATGACACGGAAGATTTAAAATTGCTAAGCGTCCGTATCGTCCTAGCATATTCATTCCCGATTTGAAAGATGGCAATAGTAATGAGAGAGAGAGAGAGGAAAAAGACAGAAAACACCCAAGCAGTGAAATTAGCCATCAGGCCGGTAAATTTCTCTCCACATTGAAAAAAAAAGCGCGAATTATTTCCCACGGTGATAACATACACTAGTGATGGTGCAGGAACTTGCAACGTTGCTCATACATCGTAATAAAACAATCCAAAGTCCTATGGCAACGTTTCCGTATTAACCAGACCGACTAGAATACACACGCACATACACATACACCGGAACAAAGCGTCGATGAAAATAATTCCAACGGACATCAATCGTAATCCTGCCATTTCCTAGGCGATAGTATTTCGTCACGATATGTATTCCTGATTACAAGTAAACTTTCGAAAGACCGAAAAAAAAGTATCCATCTAGAAAGTTTAAAGCAACATGTTCGAAGTTGTAGTGTGTCAAGCACAAAACAACGTCTCAAAATTTATAGTTGCCTTGACTAGATTAACTGAAATATAGCTTTAAAGAAGCGGCGCACTTGTAGACAGCATCCATGCGCTTCGTAAGTTGGAGGGAACTGACCAAACTGGCAATAGAGCCAGTGCTTTCTTCTCTAGTACCAGCACTAGTAATGATCCTTCCCGTTACCACGATTCGTGCATTCGAGGTCTAGATTGAGGTGTAAGCGGGAAATGAAACACACACGCACACAGAAAGTGCTTGTATCCTGCCCAGGTATAAGCTATGTATATGAAAGGACACGATTACACCAGCTTTGTGTTGCACCACATCGAAACTCATGACACCGAATCAAAATATTGTCGGAAGTATCTCTTGTGCAAACAAGAAATGGAATCCTGCTTTCATAAAACGAAAATGAATTCAAAAAGAGCTACACGGACAGACGACAAATACGCAGCAAGAATTAGTAACAGATGAAAAAAAATGCGACACGAAAATGTAATAACTTTAGATGGAGTTGGTACAGAGATGAAGAAGGGCAACACGACTTTTTGAAGAAACAATCATGGCTGTAATTTGACTAGCTCCCACATTGTTTCATTGACGGTGACGTAGATTAATTCCAACATGCTCACAAACACCAATGAGACTAGTCTCATTTCCTCTCATTCGGGCGTTCACAATAGATCGTCTATTTGCCAGCCTATCACTGCAAGCAGGTGAAAATAGTGAATGCAGTGTACTTTGCATGAACCACCGGGAACAAGAGCACGGCATCTCTGTTGTCAGCAGCCTTACTGGTCACCGCTTTCACAGTGCGACGAAGAGTGCGTGTACGGAAGGTGCAAATGGGAAAGCGGTGTGAAGCATGGACGAGCCCTTATCGGAATGGTAACAGAGAACGAACGATTTCTCTCGCTTCAACAAATTTTCGCTTGCTATAGTGTCTTTACAGTTCATGATGCATGGTTGTTGCCATGGGAAGTGACACACAAAACAAGAGACAAACAACCGGCAATCTTCCACCTCTAATTATTCAGCGTTTCAAGTGGCAACGCTAGGCAAGCGCATGTGTGAATGTGTGCGTGTGCGAGCTAGCACGCTTGATACATTCACAACATCACTTCAGAAATCTGACTGCTACACAGGCAACACAGCCACATGGTTTCTGTAATTTCACTGCCTGGCTAATGGTGGAGGGTGGTGCAGCAGGTTGACAGAAAGTCAACTTCGAAGCGGTACACGAAGCAAGCTGGTTTTTCTCAAATGAATATCATGTCTTGCAGCAAACGCTATCTGCGTCCCAGCAGACACGATCTCAGTTACATTCCGCATAAGCTATATACTGGTTTGGTTAAAAAAAAAGCAAAAAAAACCTTTCTGACAAAAGTAACATACACTAGCGGTGAACATACACTAGCGGGCATTTGAGAACACGAGCCCACAAAAAGTGAGATTCAGCAGACGTAATGCAGCGTTGTACTGCATATTCCTCAACAGAAGCGCGGACGCCAGGCAACAAGAGTCTCCGCGGTGCTTTGAGTTCGTAGCACTCTTGCAAAGCGAGGAATATGATGAGTTGCGTCCTATAATGATGCGAACAAGAACAGGACCGTCCTTAACCTCTGAAACAAAGACGTAATCACGAACTTTCTGCAGGGGTTGCCAGCGTGCGAGCACCGCTAAGGTCTTTCCTGAGTTCACAGGAGCCGTAGATATGTCGAACGTAGCTACTACCGGGCCGTGAACAAACGCAGACCACTCAGTTGGACGATGTGCCCTTCCACAGCAACTTGTCCACTGTGGAGCATTTATGCACGCGCAGCACATGCACATCTCAGGAGAATGTCGCTGGCGCACCCTGTGGTCGGCGGCCGGAGCTCGAGATGGTGATGATGGCATCAGCGCAGTTAGTGGCGTGAATCCACCTTGCCTTCTAGCCTGCGGGGCGGCGTGGGGCTGCGCTTGCCGATGGGGCCTCCGCCGCTGCTGCTGGGGCTGGAGGACGGCTGGCCGCACACGCGGTGGTGGTTCTCCCAGTCCTTGTGCTGGCAGAAGGCGCCGCAGTAGCGCGCCACATTGCAGCCGCTGCACGTCTCGTTCGCCTTGCGTCCACAGTTCCAGCAGTTCTGCTTTAAAGGGCCGAGAAACAGAGAAAACAAGGTCAAAAACACATCCGTCCTTCCTGGCTCCACTACAGGTGCATCCGCATGACCCCACAAGATGAGCGAGCTGGGCACCAAAGCTTCGCACTCACCTCGGTCGAATCCTCCTGATGGTTTACGGCAGCCAGTGCCTCCTCGGCGGCCTGGCGTCGCGCCTCGCCCAGCAGCCGCTCCATCTTGGTGCGCTCGGCTGCCACTAGCTCGCTGGCTTTGGATTCGGCGGCCGACACAGCTTTTTGGAGCTCGGCCACGGCCTGTCGCTTGACCTCGTTTACGGCCTCTTCTGCAAGTACACGACACACCCTTTTGCAGTGCTACCGCGGTCAATAAAACACAGTTCAAAGAAGCGCACTTTCCGACGCACGATAATATGCTCGGCGGTGTACCACACGCCCCATGAATGCTCCCGAAAAATTTCTGACATTTCAGTTCCTAAGTTTATTACACTCTTTTTCGCCCCATCGAGATCAAAGTCCAGCGTCCTCTCTAAATGCAGTTAGTGTAAGCCTGACGAAGGTCATTGGAAACACAACAGAATCAGCAGATTATGCGTTTTTCTGGGCAATCCTGGCAATCATAACAAGCCGATGTTACTTGAAATTTTTATGTATTATTGGTGCTACTTTATCTTTTCTTGTTGCTTCATGTGGCTCAAAATGAAATGGTAAACACCCAAGAGCACGCCGTTCAAGGTGAGCCAGTGGAAATAGAGACAATATTGCGTCAAACTTAGACAATAGTCATTTGAAACCTCGCACAACTTCACCACTATTTCGCAATCGCTTGACCAAACGCGTCAATAACCGACGCATCCTGCTTCGGCCATTGAGCACATTACTTAAATGTTATTCGACACCCCAAATAAGCCTTATTTGAAAAGTCACACCAGGTGTGACTTTTCAAGGTAATGTATCCCGTGTTCTTGCAAAGCTACGACGGCTGCACGTAGAGACCTTTGATGGCTGCCAAATCCCATCGGCTCACGGACAGACAGATGAGATTTCAACTTAAAAGGACGCGTTTATTTGCGCTCTTGTCCTTACCCCAATCCTTGCTACGCGCTCTTAGCGCGCAGCCCTTTTAAAGGCTATGTGTGGCACCTCAGTGAGGAAACCGTAAGAAAACACCGCAGCAGGATGCCGTCGTGGCAGCGTCGGCATCATCATCAGTGCCAACTACGCAGACGTAGGCACAATCCACGCCGGCACGCTCCAAGAAAACCCAGCCACAGAAGGTCAGTAGCCACCGCACTGCCACCCTCTCCCCGGCTTCGAGCAAGGCGAAGGTGCAGACCGGAGCTCCCTCGTCTCCTGCCACGGCCGTGGCTTTCTGCGAGGGATACCCCCTTGGCAGCAACACCTCCTCATCTCGTCCTTCAACTACTGCTGCCGCCGAGCAAACGGCGTCCAACCCCAGTGCGCGCGGCGTGCCCCCAAGCACGTCTTCGCGTTTCGATGGTCTCCGCGTCGTTGAAGACCTTCCTTTGAGTGAATGTGTGGCCACCATCGTCTTTCGGCCCATCGGGAAGAAGGCCAACTTCCTGGATGCTTCGAGGGATGTGATCGCCGCCTTCCTTTCGGAGTTCCCAGCCACCAAGTGAGTGCGAGTGAATTTCCGGTGCAACCTCGTTGCTATCGACACCCACCCTACCGCCGATCTCACCGCCCTACTCCAGGTTGGGACGATCTGCGAGATCAAGGTTCGAGCTTTACAACTCGACCTGAACACCCCTGTTGGCATGGTTTTTGGAGTGGACCCAACGATCCCCTTCGAGGACTTCGCCGACAACATTGCTTCACCAGTGCCTCTCGTGTCCGGTGTATGCAGAGGCAACTGCCTCACACTCACCTTCGCTGGGACTACCGTTCCGCAGGATATACTGCTTTACAAGCAAAGGCGCCCCCCCCCCCCCGTTCAACCCCGCCAGCCCCGGCCCACGCAGTGTTCCCGTTACGGCCGCTTCGGGCATGCAACCGCCACCTGCTCTCGAGACGAACGGTGCCTGCGCTGCGGCATAGAGCACGCCCTAGGATCATGTGCAGCACACCCTCGCTGCGTAAATTGTCGCGAGAAACATCCTGCAACTGAGCTGTGCTGTCCAGCCTGGCAGCTCCATCGCAGGGCAGCGGTCATCATGGCCTCAACTAACGGCACCATGACTCACTGCCAAGCCATGGAGCACGCTAGGACCCCTGGCAGCAGCGCTTCCATCATCAAGGGACGCTCCTTCGGAGATGCGCTCGTCGGTACCGGTGACACGACCTGGCGACACGACCTCGGAGGCCGCCCCTCGTCCTACAACCAGAACGCCCGTCGTTCCCACTACAACGACAACGGCCTCGCCCTCATTTACAACTCAGCCGGCCCCTACCGTCGTCCAAAAGCGCTCGACGGCGATGCAGACACCACGCGCTTTTTCACAACCGCCGGTTCCTGTCGCCGTCCCTAGAAGCACGACGACTGAGCCCGCTTCCTCGACCTCGCAAGAACTTGACATCAAAACCAGGAATGACATCTTGACTGGTCTTGCTTCGGGACTTCGAATGACGCTCAGGGCCCTCCCAGTTGGCTCCCACGAGCGCAATTTTTGTGTTGTGCCCCTGCTCGCCTTCGAGTCCAAGGCGAATAGGTTTGGCCTCTCTCTGGCCGAACCGGCTGCACTTCGTGAGTTCTTCCCTAGCCCGTGTTAAAACGTGCACACCACTGTACTCTCAACCTTCTTGGTGGTGTTCTCAGTCGACTGCGTGTGGCATGCGGGTCTTCTTGCGCGCGCGCATCTGGCAAATCGAATGCGCCTTTTAAATGCGAAGCATTGCTTAGCGAACTTCGGCGACTTTATCTATCTATCTATCCATCCATCCATCCATCCATCCATCCATCCATCCATCCATCCATCCATCCGCTTACGTTTGGGTTATCTCGTGGCCGCCCCATTTACTTGGAGTGAACCAAAATTAGCATGAGAGGGTCAGATTGTTTAACGAATACGACACGCTTGTGAAGACATGAATAATGTCACAATCCTGTCGAATACGTCGTCAAACACTTCTCGCCAGACAGTGGCACATAACCATGGGCGGGTATGTGCCTCTGGTATGCGGGTATGTGCCACAGGTGATTGACACTTGGTATCTACTGAAGAACTACGAGAACACACATGGGCAATTTTAACGCCCGAGTGTTAGGAAATACCTGACGTCAGTAGCGTCGACCTGACGAGTCCCAGCTGGAATCGAACCCAAGCATTCTGGGTGCCAATGAAGCATTCTACCACAGAGCTACGCCAGGTCTAGGAACTACTTTTAAAATAGATGTTAATCCTCGTGGAATGTTAATAGTGGTTTCAGTGCTGCCTGCCCAATCTTATAAACATTACATATGTACTATTTTGATACAGCCGTCAGGTCGCATTAACGTCAGATGTGATTAGTTGCCATGCGCTGAAGTTGGTTTATGTAGCAGTCTCCAGGGCAAGAATCTTCCCTTGCATCAGCACTTCACATAAGCTTCTGATGTTGCTAATAAGCATGTTCCAGTTGCCATCGTTGTGCAAGTGCAAACAATCGGTTATATAAACATCTTCAGCTCTTCAACATATGTCTGTGTGCGACATTTGTACATTAATTTGGCGTCATTCCATGGCGTGTCACTCCATAAAAAATTTGCAACACGGTCACCTTTCTTGCGCATGCTTCGCGTAACGTGGATTCTCAGGTACATGGGATCTGCCGAATTTTTTCCCCCTCTGCCTTTCTCTTGCCTCTTTTCTCCTTTCCCTTCAATTCCCATTCTTCCATCCCCTGCAGAGAACTGTGGAGGTGCCCTCGTTTCAGAGAGGCAGTAACAGAACTGCGTTGATTTCATCCTTTTTCCCTTTTCAAAGTCACTTAAGTGTACGGCTCACGTTAGTGTGGCTTTGACGTCGAATGTCTCAGCTAGTATTTTGAAAACTTCGCACCTACTGGGATTTGTGGCTCATGATATCCTGTACAGAGGGCTCGGCTCTCGTCTAGAAACCACCGTAAAACACTGGGCATTCGGTTTAGTTCAACTAAATTTCTGTATCACCATTTCTGTCTTTCTTGAGCAGCAGATTGTCACATGTGAAACGTTGAGTTCCCATGTTCCAGACGAGTATGTATGTAAAGTGAAAGGCCACTCACTCACTTACTTACTTACTCACTCTGTCAGCCAACTTAACCGACATTGTTTGTTTATCGTTACTGTAATTCAAAGTGTACAGATATTTTTGTATACTTTTGTAGAGATACGCCCGCTGAAGCTGAGATCTGTCTTCACTGCGGGAACTGAGCACAATGACACAGGGTTGCAGAGTAAAAATAATTGACACACAGAAAACCAATGTATACCAAATAAAAAAAATAAATAATGCAAGAGACCCACAGCACCGAGGATAACACAATAAAACTCGTGAGTCATTTGAGCATCCCCCGTGTTCACATTAGTTTCGTTAATCCACGTGTGGCTTTTTTCAACATGGAAGTGTACCAAGCTCGCTAACTTTCCTTGCTTCAGGAGGTACGCGTGTGAATATTTGGCATGAATATATCTGCCCTTTGTGAACAAGATTCGATTCTTATTTTCTCGTAAATGCACAAGAAGCATTCGTTTTTTTTTCTTCATTCCTCTGCAGGGGCGATGAACCAGAAGGACACATCACCCCACTGATCGCTTGAATAAATAGAGAGAGCATGCCTTAATTGAAGATAATAATAATAATTGTTGGGGTTTAACATACCAAAACAACCATATGATTGTGAGAGACGCCATAGTGGAAAGTTTGGGAAATTTCAACCACCCAGGGTTCTTTAACGTGAACCTATCTTTAAACACAGGGACATCAAGTATTTTCGCTTCCATCGAAAATGCGGCTGCCGCGACCGGGATTCGATCCCTTGACCTGCGAGTCAGCAGCCGAGTGGCTTAGCCGCTAGAACACCGTGGCGAGTCTTATTTATTTTAAGAATTTCCCGCTTTCTTGAACGAGCAGTAATATTTCACTCAGTTTGTGTCAGATGTTAACAACGCGATGTTCTGGCCACGGCTACGGTCAAGTTAGGGACTAACACCTAAATATATGATTTTCCACCATTTACTGCACGCGACAGGCTGATACGAAAACAGAACTGAGAGACAATGAAAGCTCACCTGCGCGACGCCGGACCTCGGAGACCCTGTCTATCTCAGCGGCTGATTTGTAGTGCGCCATGCGAGTGGTGTTTTCCCACCCATGGCTAATAAAGATACATCGTTAGCTTGTTAGCTAGAGATTGTACTGGTTTGTACTAGTTTGCACAGCCTTCAGCATTTTTTATAATATCGCGCGAGCCTCGACCGCAACCAGTAAAAGCGCCTTACAACGGCGATAATCTGCGAGACAAACAGCAGTACGCGCAGGCGCACGAAACAGCGCTAGCGCAACCGTTGCCTGCCAGGCTGTTCCTCTCAGGACGAAACACTCCCTTTCTTTGTTAAAGGTGCCCGGAGTGCACACAGTCGTTGATAGAAACATCACGAACGTATAGCTTCTTTTTAAATTTCCACGTTTGCATTCAACGGCATGCATTGCTGCCTATACTGGCACCTTCTTTAGGTGAAATAAGCTGACAAATACCATGCGGTAAAATAATGTTTTTTTTTTTGCTGTTGACCACATTGTATTACTTTTTTTGTTTAAGTTTTCCAGGGCATCAACTTTGAGCAGTTTCTTTGACTGCAATCACAGGAAAGATCTACATGAGTCAGTAGATCACAGTTTTAAGTTGTGCACGTGGTTTTGTTCACATCGTTCTTATTATCTTTTTTTTCCTTTTAAAGAGACTAATACAGTCATTGTGGTGGGGCGCGCATCGTCCTGAAAGAAACAGCGTGGCAGACGACACTTGCGCTGCTTTGTGCGCCTGCGCGTTCTGTTGCCGGTCTCGTAGATAGTCGCCGTTGAAAGGCGCTGATACGGCGTGCCGTCGACACTCGCGCGATATTATTAAAAATGCTGGAGGCTGTACATGCTGCTACTGCCAGTTGCTGGATCGGTTGGCATGTCGGCGGGCATCGTTTATAGATAGATTTTCAAAATCTCTCAGCGCACTGAATGCGAGTACTATTAAACGGGCTCATATATTCACTGTACGCTGACCGACAAGGAAGCATCAGAAAGCACATCACATGTTTTGCGCAAAAAATAGCAATCAGTGCACATTCTACGCCCCATGCCACTCATAATTAGGCAAAATGTTTCGCGAATAGATATTCACTATTGTGTGGATACTGCACTACTAGGTGGCCCAAGGTGCTTGCTTAAAGGACACCTCATTATACCACATAGAAAACTTCAGTTTTGCGGTGTTGCCTTTATCCCTTCTGAGCAGTTTATGCGGTGCTAGGGTGCCTCAGTATCCCCTTGACCCGCCAATACGTGAGTCGGAAAAGGACGACAGCGAGGCTCTTTTGTGCACGGCACGTCACGATCAGATCAGAGTCGTACGTCATCGCCACATCTTGGAGCACGGCGTGCACAAGGAGAAGAGAAGACGACACTCAGTTGGAGCTTTTTTCGCGGCACGTGTCACGGTAACTCTTGACAGACACGATCGTGAGGTCACAATATAAGCATTGCGCTTGTCATTTTAAAATGACCTGACTGGTGAGGGGCCTCCCTTCTATCAGTGTAACACGAGCCCGATGACTGTAAATATACAAGAGTGACGAGAATTGTGGGCAGTCATAGGGGGGGGGGGTGATTCCTAAATGAAAAGAAGGGAAAAGTAAGCCCCGTAACTCTCTCTCAGGGGGAGCACACCTCAACAGTAGCTCACGAGAGGTGGGGGTAAAGGAGGAAGGATAGGATTAAAAGGTAAAGAGACAGAGAGAAAGGAGAGAGAGCGAGGCACAGGGACAGCGAACGACAGAAAACGATGGAAGTAAAGAGGAGATAGGAAAGATGGACATGATCGCACGATTCCGAGGACGAGGCACCACTCAGCGAGAGCTCTTGTCGCCGGCAGGAGATGGCGTAGGGCGAGCTCAGTTGGTCAGAGCTGCGCTGTCGTCGGAGATAAGCGGGGGCACAACCGGTCTGAACGACATCCACAGAGCGAGTCATAGGGATTACTCTTCTGGTCGCCTGACATGAGTTTACAACATCATGTTTTTGTTTTTTGCGCGTGTGTGTTGGCACTGAACTAAAGTAGAAGAAGCAAAAACGATTTGTGACATCGCCTGCGACTACGTTTCATACAATCATACCTTGGTATGATATGTGGTGTATGGTACAGCTGTAGGTGACATTTTTGGTGCGGCGAAGGAATGTTAAGACCTATACGACCATGGTCGATCATCAAAGTTGCACGATGTCACGCTGTTTCTACATTGAGGCAGGTGGACCAGAAGGGAAAATGATGTGTGCTATTTTACACTTGCCAAGGGGATGTTGAAAGATGAGAAAGCACGAAGAAGACACTCGATCACACGCCATCACATATTGACGCGCAAAAGATAAATATACAATAATAATCTTGTACACTGCTAACTTTAGTTCCGTGTCACGAAATAATAATTATAGAGTACACGGCTAAGAGCAACAACTTCTATATACACAGTGCGCTGGCAGAGCAGAAGTTATCAACCAATAATAATATAGAAATAAACGAAATCAAGAAAGTATAAAATACGTTTTTTTTGCAGCTACAGACATGCCTTTTACCGAGACTTGGAGAGTCGACAGCGCCCTCTGAAGCTTCTGAAAGTTGAATAGGTTGTAGAACAAAGTACTCACAGTGTTGATGTTCTTCCATTCGTCCTCCATGTCCCGATCCTCGGGGTAATCCCTATGCAGCATTCCTAGCGAAGAGAAAAAGAATTGAAAAAAAAAGAGGACGCATTACGATATAATGGCAATGCCCATCAGGGTAACTTAACGGCTAAACTGTTGCACTGTTACACTCGAGGACACGCCTTCAAGTCTCGGCTCCGACGACCGCTTTTCAATGAGGGCGAAAATGCAAAGAAACATCCACGTATTTAAATTTAGGCACATGTTAAAGAATCCCGTGGTTAGAGTTAATCCAGAGTCGAACACTACGGCGTGCCTAATAAGCGTTGAATTTATTAATTTTTTGCACGTAAATAACCTAGGCGTTCATTATTTCATGTCAGTGGAGAGCGTAAATGTATAATTTATGCAGACTTGCTCAGCATAGACAGTGCGCAAAGTGACGAAATGTTAAAACGGGGCTGATCATTCGGCGATCTGCTACAATGTATTCTTCTCGCAGAGTCTTTTATGCTAGGCCAGTATTCCTATTCATTTGACGTTGTGATATACGGACAGCATCGTTACAGGAGACATTTTTTTTTTCTTTGCGAGGTAACTCTCTAGCTTGACGAAATATTAGTAGAGCTTTTACCTAGGGAGTGCAGTGATGTACTTCATACTTCGAATACGAATAGAATAGTCTCTTATCTTCGATTCGTATTCAATTCGAGAAGTTATTATTCGAAGGTTTTGAATATTCGCGTTTTCTAATATATAAGGAAGAAAAAAAAAGCACTTATTGAAATATCAATGACGAGAGAAAGGCGGATGTGAGTACTTTGTTGTATTGTGTTGCGGGGCATTTGTTACAGAAGGACACGAATTCGTGAATGAGTGCAAAGGCCAAGTAACTTCAATACAAGTATGCCCAGTCATACAATTAAAATGACGCACTTTTAGGGAGGCTGTAGACGCATTTTTGTGGATTTAGTATTTGGCCGCAATGACAATGCTTGTATCCATTTAAAACAACGTACGGTGCGTTTACCTCATATGTCTTCCTTTCAGCATCGACAGTGCATGCCTGGTAGCAGGTTTCCTTGTTAATTTGTGAGAACCAATCACTGCTGTGCGCTCTTAAAGTAAACCTTCTTATCTTCGTGCCTTTATTTCTCCCTATATATAATTTGTCACAGACTGCATTTTTTTTTACCCGGCGTCACGCCGAGTTAACAGGCGCCGCGTTTCTCCCTGTGACCGTGAGACCACTTGGACATCCAAAGAACTTCAGTTTGAGCCGCCAAAACCTGGTGATATGTTCGTCTCGGAGGGACACCGCTGAGGATTGGCCCTTTGTACATGACTGGACCCATTTAAATAGCCATCCTTTCCCCCAAGAAGAGAATGCGCGGCAGAAAGGGGATTTAGACGCACGATATCGCCCGGCTAATAGTTGCTTGTAGAACATGAGGTATAAGGGATCATCGCGTAACTCATTTAGAACTTTTTACTGTGGCTTTGTATCGGGTGGCCACCTGAACTTAGCCGTTCGTCCAGTTGAGACGTGTAATCAACATCTGCCTTGTAGACATCGCAACTTCCAACGCAGGTTAAATCAACCTGCCTGGCTTCACCGTCCAGCCGCAGCTCCCGGAAACATCAGCGTTGCAACGCCGCCGGCATCGCAGTCGTGCCAGAACTCTTCAAACCTTCTCGCATCCGATCATCGTGGACTCAACACTGCCGGTAATCGCACGTATGCCATCACCTGTTGATACTTCTGAACTTTCGCATGTTTAGCTGCTGTTTAATTATTGAACAGTTTTTTTTACTTGTAAGATCGTTTGTTGTTTTTATATTTATGTTTGTAGTTTGTTTGAAGTGTTTCATTCCTTGTGCCGCATACAAGTATATTAAATTCGCCGTTTCGTTTTCCCGCACACGTCCCTGATCTCTTCACAGCTCTACTTGCGTACGGAACGAAGTAACCTGCTGTCATTCTCACTGCCGACTTCGCACCGGTGACGCTAGAGCGGCAGTTTGTAAAAATGATAAAAAACTTGAGTCTTTGTTATGCATAAGTTCACCACTTTCCCATTTCTTTCATTTCGTCTTTCACATCCCCCACAAGCTAATTAATGTTAATGTACGGCTACAGGCGTTTTGAACCACTATGCGATTAATATATTAATCACAATGAATATGTTACTTGACCCCCTGTTCAAGTTAACAAAAATAGTCGCATATATGCCGGCAGTTCATCACAGAATGCGGGCGTTCCGACTACAACGTCACCCATAGGTACGCAGAGATCGCCGACGAACAGTAACTCACCATTTTTTTCATCTGCATCCGCCAATCTGAATCGTCCATGCTGCCCTTTTCGTAACCCCGCGTTTTGTAGCATGCGCAGCTAATGTATTTTTACGAGATAACGACGCCCATTGCCATACTAACGGATCCATGTAAGACCTTGTAAGCACAATACGAGTAGAGTGTACTATCCCGTTCTAGTACACTCTAACACGAGGCTTGTACAGGGGCTCAGTTTCGCTGCATCACGATAACGAGGCTAACGGTCATGTAGCCAAGTGGAGTGTGCACCATGAGCCAGCAGAGGCGCCTTGAGCACTGTTGTTGCGCCGCGTTTAGGAATGTGAAACCAGTATGACGGCGTGAGAGTAAAGTTAACATGCATTGTATTACTACGAAAACAACAACAACCACTCAGTTGTCCTAGCTCTCAAGACGAAAGCTGTGCGTACCATAGCAAGGCCTGTAGAAGTCCCTGTCAAGGCGATCGTAGCGATCGTAGCGGTCCCGGAATAGCGGCGTCGATGCTTCCTCAAAACGGAAGGCCGCGGGAGGCGGATGGGCGGCGTGCGCTCCGACTCCGGGGCTGAGCCTCGCCGTTCCGGGACTCGCCGAGAGGGGCTGGTGTCGCTTGGCCACCGGCGGGCCGCCTTCTTCCAACACCACCGCGGCACCGACGGCTGACGCAGCGTGGCCGTTCTCCTTCGGCCGACTGCGATGTGCAAATTAGCGTTACGTTTGGATCCAGCTAGTCGTTGAGACGATGGCCTGGTACCCATCGTACACAGCTGGCGTGCTACTCAAGATGGGTACGATGAATAATGAAACACCAATTGTACACAGTGCATGATATAGAACGTAATCAAGGTCTATTCAACGAAGCGAAGTATATATAATGTGACCTGCGTCTAAAAGAAGCATAAATGTGTCTTCGTTGCTTGAGGAGAATGCCCATAATAAACGTTTAGTTCGGGCAATAATACTTTTTGTAGATAAGCTTCCCCCGAATGGAATGTGCGTCATATTAAAAAAGCAAGCCTGAAAGTAAAAAATGGTGAAAGGGAGAATCAGACAAAAAACCCTTGCCGTATTATTAGTATCGAAGCCTTCTCCTATGTCTGGCATCGCTGCATGCGATTAAACTTGTGCAGCTAAGCCGAATTCACTGCAGCTCACCCGTCCGGGGGCGTCCTCCGCTTGAGGGGGGCGCCTTCCTTGGCGTCCGGCTGAAAGATCTCGAACGGTTCCCCGCCCGGCTGGTCCAGCACCAACTGCTCGTGCTGCCGCAAGTACTGAGCGGGGCTCTGCTTGGCGGCTCGCGCGTAGTGCACCAGTTCGGTCTGCAGCAATGGCAGGTGCGACTGCGAGCACCAGACGACACCAGGTCAGCTGAAGTCATGCGCTACTGATAGCAACCCACGTAGTGACAGAGTCAGCCGTCATATCACGCAAGATTGTTTCCTTGCTGGATTTATGTACACGGTTGGCCACTTAGCTGCACTGTCTGAACGTTCCTTCAACGCAACATTTCTTCCTGATGTCACGCATTTTCTCTTCCGGTTACCGTGTACAAAGAAAGCCGCTGTCACGTCAATATTTTCTAAGATACATTTACACATTTACATCTCTGTGCAGCAGAAGGTTATTTCTTAATTTAAAAAACTAAACTAGGTGAGGGATGATCGCCTTTAGCTAAATATAAAGTGTAACAGTATTGACTGCCTCTTCGAGAGTTCTAATGCTTCTGTGAATTCATTCCTGCATCACACAAGCAGCAAATCTTGCCACAAACATTTCATCAATGTGGCGTTCAACTCTTACACAATTAATATACTCGTGGCCAAAACGCGCGCGACAGCTCTTGCTTCGTTGCTGTTCGGGAAACACGACCGTTTCGGGCATCACGGATGAAGTTGCAGGCACCTTTTTAGTGGTACCTATACCACAACAAACCGTAGCAAATGTTGTCACTTACATTGAAAATGTGAACGAAGTGTGTTTGCCTAAAGGCACACATAAAATTTATTTGTCTATTATTTTTCCATGTCCAAGCTGCATCCAGCTATGGAAAGGACACTCAACGTAACGGGCTTCAAATAGCAAACTGACCGCGCGCAAGCGCAAAGTCCTCCATATACAGAAGCGTTTCAAGGTGGTTGAACACCTCGCCCAGTCGGCATCCCACTCCTCGTACGTTTCGCTCTAAGTGGCAACGCTAGTCTTTTGACTGGGCGTGTGTTCAGTAGTAAGAAGTAAAACTAAGAAATATGCATTTTGCAACCTTCCTTTTTTTAAACGCAGTTACAGAGCGCAGCCAAATTCACGTAAGCATTTTTTTTTGTATAACTTTACGGAGCCCATGAAAGTGTAAAAAATGGAAATGGAAATTCAACACTGGGCGCCTTGTTTTCGTAACGTTCCCTCGACCGAAGCAAAAATGACCCGATGTTCTCCCAAAACTACTTTTTTTTGGCATCAGCAGCCTGCATAAAAAAAAACTCAAGGGCATCACGAGATCACTGACATTATACGCGCTATAGTGTTAGGAATTATCCATGGCTAGGCTTACGTCTATGACTGCAAATGTGCTTCTTTGTATATACGTACGTGAACGCCCCGTGCTTCCGTGATAAGAGCCAAAGAGGTGTGTTTGATTAACTTTAGCTTTTTTATCGTTGCCGCATCTAATTTCATCAGCTGTACTTGTCAACCTTTGAGCTGAACTAAATCGGCCGGTGGTACCAAGCGTCATTGCTAACGGCTGGATAATCCCTGAAAACATTAGCCTAATTTGCTCCTTGGCTTGCTACTCCAGGTGTTGTGTGGCGAATATGGTATAACGGGTGTCTAAAGAAATGTCCAAAATCTACAAAAAATGGGGCAATGCGATATCAGTTCGATGGCTCCACACTTACTTCTAGTGTATACCTGCAGGCATACTAATGCGGTAAAGACACCGTTTGGAACGACAACTGAGCAACTTAAAATAAATAACTTTTTAATTACTGTTAGGCGGTCATGTCACATAAGGTGATTGAAGCTTTTCATGTGAGGAAACCGTCACAGGTTCGAGATAGAGGATAAGCGCCTAATAGTAATTATTGCGACGTAATGAAACTCCCTGAAATTCAATGCGAAACCAAAGCGACAATGAGCGCGACCAACAGACGACCAGAAGGACGTCGATGTTAAAGAAAACGATTACAGGGGCGCAGTTCTTCCGCGTGCGTAATCGTATGTGCGTCATGCGTGCTATAATCGCGAGCGCAGTCCCAACACCCACACAACGAAGTCGCTTTATGGTCAATATAACGATGTTCACTAATTCTCGACATCTCAGAAGAATATAGCTGTTGCGTTCTTCCTCGTTTCGTTGACAGTTTTGCCGCTGAACTTGAGCGAATTTCATTACTTCGCAATTAATAATGAAGGCCACCTTTGCGGAATCTCAAAGCTGTTTAGGTATTCCTCGCATGAAGGACTTGAATTATCCTATTGACATAACCACCTAGCCCCACAAATTAAAAAGGTAATATTTTAACTTTGTAATTACAGTCCCAGCGCGATGTCTTATCCATCTTAAAATGCCGGCGGAATACATATGAAGTACTTGCGAAGTCATAGAACAAATATTGACTTTTTTCAGATATTTAAGAATTTTGGGCACATTTATTGAAACGCCTGGTATGAACTGATCCCATGTACATGCAAATAATACGTAGAGTCACACACACATTCGGTAGAGGTGTAATTCATAATGGTGAGTTAAGAACTCCTTAAATTGGCGCAAATATTACCAAGGAGACTCAAGTTACTTAAAAATACACTGCCAGTAAGCAACGGCATGCATGGGGCTGTATGAGGTATATAAACCTTGTCTGACTACCTACTAAACATAAAAACAGTTAAAGTATCGTTCGAGGTTTCAAAATTTGATCGACTTCTAATGGAGTAGTGCTCTTGGTCAAATATTTTTACTGCATTGTTCATTCAACTGCAAGCGACGGTAACGCAGAATATAAGTTGCCTCTATTTGAACTAAAATAAAGACTACGAAAAAGGCGAAATGGCAGTCACGTCATTTTTTTAAATATGTAAAAGAGAGGCTACCTAAATCTCGAAAAAAATAAAAGAAGAAGAACCACCGTTACCTTGAGGAATGGAACCACGAAGGGACGCAACGGGTAATTCGTGATGTCTTGAATGCTGTGATGGAAGTCTTCGATGGATATCGTGGAGCTCTGTAGGAAAGTGAGGTTGTTCAAGTAAGCACATTGTGCTAGTTGTCTGGGCTATAGTTACACAGTAAAGCAAAAAAAAACTATTATTGGTAAAAAGGAGCAGGGCTAGACAAAATACTATTGACGACATGAAGACAGCACATGCGCTGTACTGATAACTCAGTTGTGAGTACAGCCCAGTTGTGAGTTATATTTACGTGTTTGCGCCGCCACAGTGGTCTAGTGCTAAAGTACTTGGCTGCTGACGAGCAGGTCGCGGGATCGAATCGCGGCTGCGGCGGCTGCATTTTTCGTTGAGAGCGAAAACTGTGTGGGCCCATGTGCTCAAATTTGGGTGCACGTTAAAAAGGTGGTGGAAAGCTTCGAGGTCTTCCACTACGGCGTCTGTCATAATCATATGTCGGCTTTGGGACGTTAAACCCCACACATCACTCAATGAGTTTTATATTACCATGAACTCAAACCAACTCGGTCCATCGATCTGTGATTCTGCAAACGTATGCTTTATCACGCATTGTGTGGTGAAGACTTGATATTTTCGCTTTGCTAAATTAGAAATATGGCGGATAACAAACGAGTTTCTGATACAAAAGTTGTTTTTTAGCCTTAATATTCTAGAGGAGCTGAAGCGTGCGAAAAAGGAACTTCCACTGGCAGTTTTACATTAAGGGTTAACTACAGTGCGTATTATGGGGCGACAATATCAGACTGGTCATCGTTGAATAAAGGGAGGTTGGTGTCGTCCGTATCGGTTAACAAAACAGAGAAACAAAAGGCAGAAAAATGAATGATCACACTGTTCAAGCACGTTCCGCTCACATAAAAACTCTATGAAAGCGCAAGTTTTTGTGAGGAACATTTATTTTATTAAAATAAGCAATTAGGCATGGTAGATAACTCGTGGGGTAGCTGGTTAGAAATTCTCGCGGCCAAAGCATAGTTCGCGCATGTGTTCTCAGTGGGACAGAGCGATGGGATGCGCGCTGTAAGGCTCAATTCGTGCTCACCACAAGTCCCAGAATGAGGCCGTGAACCCGCTCTCCGACGTCTGGCGAAACGTCGCTTGCAAACTGTTGCAGAGTGGTCAGAAACCTTTTCACTTTGCTCAGCTGCCGTGCTCCTGAAATTAGAGGAAAAAAAAACAGCGGAGAGAATAATTAGCATCCATTCTCTGTTTGTTTGTTTTGTCTACAACATGACACATATATCCTGTGCAGTGGTGTTCCGCGAAGAAAATTGTTTATTTTTCGGGAATTTTCGCCTGTCATTTCGAGCCCAAAAGAATCTTCGTGATAATGCAGGGAATTTCAGGAATAGTCAAATTCTCCTATGACGACCGTACATAAATAGTAAAGTCATGCTTTTCTTGTACGGTAGTGGAGGGGCTAGTCATACCTTCAAAAGCCGCCAGTATGTCAGACACGTGTAATTATAGTATGTGTGTGCGTGGATAGGTCTGGAAATTAGTAATGTTGTGCAGGAAACTATGCTGGGAATTTCGTCAGCGTTAGCGAGGAAAAAATCCCATAAATAGGGAATTTTCATGTTTCTGATTGGGAATTTTTCGGCGTAGTACGGAACATCCCTGACCCTGGGGGATCGGCCACGAAACTGTGGTGTAATTGGTGGATGAAAACTATCCTACTGCTTAGTATTATTATATCTATAAACATGAAATAAAAGACGTACAATATTACAAAGTGAGAGAAAGAAAACAAAAATAGCAGCGAACAATGAAACTCTGAGAATTTAAGCAGACCAGAGAGCTTCGTCTACTTCACCCAATAATTTGGAACATACTGGTGAAAACACCTATTAATGTTACTTTAACAGCATTCATTAGAGTAGAGATTCACGGTGAAATGCGTGTAATGGCTTGAATAAAATCGCAAACTCCAATGAATACGTCCTTGTGGCAAAGTCCCAAAACAGAGGCACCAAAGTGTAGCACAGTTTCCGCCGTTAAATGGATACCTACATTCAAAAACGGAAAAGCTAGACATTTTTTTTAAAGTAATGATATCAGCGACGTGATAAAAAAGTAGTATTCAGTAGTTCCAATGTTTCAAAGAATGAAAGATGGGGTAATATCGTCAGATCAACGCCGTGTATATTTATTTATTTATTTATTTATTCATTTACATCGATACTCTGTCAACTCTTTTGCCAGAGTCCTTAGAGAGGGGTTAACATAAGAAAATAATAAAGTAAAAAAGGACATCATTAACGAATACACAAATACAGGTTAGATCAAGATCAAGCGGCACACTTGTACAGATAGTCATCCAAGGTCTGTTCAAAATTTGAAAAATCGTTCTGTTCAACAACACACACTGGCAAATCATTCCATATTCCGATTGCATTAAGAAGAAAGGAGTATTTGAACCTATCGGTATGAGTCCTGTACGCTTGAATGGCCGTGTTGTGGTTGCTTCTTGCGCTCTGTTTATCTGGTGATAGTAAGTATACTTCTTTGCTAATATTTAGTTGGCCCTTTAGTTTTTGACATAGTACTTTCAGACAATTTTTCTGTCTGTGCGTTTCTATCAAATGCAGGCCAGAAGAATAAAGCATTTCTGTAACTGACTCTGTCCTTCTATACCGGGAGCATGTAAATCGCCCGTGTACTTCTGATTTTTTTTCCAGTTTGTTTCTTTAAACAATATTGATGAGGGCTCCATACCACCAAATATAAATATATTTTTAGAGGGGGGACACGTCATCTAAGTCTAGTAGTGATTACTTCAAACTTTCTGGACTGACTCCACTGAAGATTCAATGGAAATTTGAGACGGTGATATTCTGTCCATTTTGTTATTGTTTCTCTCTTGTCTGTACAAACGGCAAATTTCCTATATCTGATCGTGACTATGTATTCTACTTCTGGAAGTACCGAAATTATTGGGCCATTAAGTGATGGTCGCGCGAAGGAATCTGCCAGCTCATTTACTCTTAATCCAGAGTGACGTGGAACACAAAGTAACCTTAGGAGTTTCAGTTGAGGGTAGTCAGGAGGGCTGAAAGAATGGCGAGAGCCAGCGATGCCTTGGAATAAGGGCCCGACGAGGGAGCGTAGCCGTGTTTTAGCGGCAACAAAGTCTTTTCCGCAAATAAAGTTTTGTTTTTCTTCTTTAGTTGTGGCGGCACTAATGCGCGGAATGTCACTAGAGTTCATGAGTTTTCTGAAGCTGTAAGAGCTGTACACACTGAAAGAGAATTTGTTATTATGATTGCTTTTTTTATAAGAAGAGAGTTTTCGAAGCGCAAAAATTACATCCACAAGCTCAGCTTCAAAGTAGGAGTAAAATCAGGCAGCCTCACTGAGAATGACCAGTCAAGCAAATCGGACGACAATTTCCTACGCCTGCCTTTTCATTATTCACAGAATCATCTGTGCCTGTTATATTTATTTATACACGAACAAGATAATATTTTGATGTGTTTTTAAAAAACCTGAGAAATTGGAACTGAGATTAGGGGGGGGGGATTTCATATTATCCTATCACAATATTGCAATTCAAGCAGTAAGCTTCAATTACATTTATATAGTCTATATTTTACTAGCTAGCTTCTTCTGAACAAAAATAATCTTAGGTGTGTCAAATCGTCGCCAATGAGCAAGAAGAAAGACGTCTGGGTCGGTGATAAAGGCATGGTCAGATCTTCTTGTCGGTAAGCTATAACATTTTGAATAAGCTTGTAGGGTTAAACTACGGAGTCAACAAAGTAGTGTAGGCTGACGCGCTTCCTGATAAAGTGCTTTTTTTTGCCTCAGCAGTATGTTTAATTGGGGCTTGAAATTTTGAACGTCGAGGCTTATCGAGTACTCGAAGTTTCGCTAATAATTTTCGATGTGCTACTGGCAACACCTCCATTCTTGGCGCCTTTAAAGTGGGTATATGAGCCATTCAAAGAGAGCAACAAAAACCACAGCCATGTCGCCACTGAGTTTTCCACATCTACATTACTCTCTATGAGAGCGTCGGAACTGAGGCACCGCAACAGAGGCATATATGATGCCGTATTTAATTATATAAAGTAAGCAAATAGACTGTCGTGTTAATATTATAAGTACATTGATGTATTGTCATTGATATGTTGATTGATCCTATCTGTATTTATTCTAATACTTCAAGTGTAACATTTCTTTAATTGGCATTTCATAAATAAACCAAAATATCAAAAATAATTTTGATTTTCTATAAACTATTTTTTACATGTTCCACCCCTCTTTACTCTTTTTCCTCTTCTTCCCCCTCGAACTCTACTGCCACACATTTCATTGCTGATCTTCCGTGGTGGGTTGTGCCATCATTCCAGGAACCAACCAACCATAATTCTTGACACCACTGGCACGGTTTCTCACATTTACAGATAGATCGCGTACCATGTCTCTAGCGCTCCGGTCTGGTTAAACATTACATTTTGGTGTTCTGCAAGCAAAACGTAAGATGAAATTACCAGGCATTAATATTTACCAATGGTGTTCTCTAAAGCATGAATGATTTTCACGGTGCACGAGCCTTGTTTTTATTCTTTTTGCGTTCCATTCCAGCCGCATTGCAGTAGTTGGACCCGAAATCAAAACGGCAAGCTCGAGCTTAGCAGCATGACGCCACAACCAGTGAGTTGCCGGGAGGAATATAATTGTAGTCAATCATACTGGACACGTACCCGGCTGATAAGCAATCGGATTCCTAAAGCTTTTTTTTTAAATTTATATGGCAAGCATTTACTAACGCTAGTCTAACATCCAACGCATTGTCTTATTTCGATAGCATTATATGGACTCTCTCGGCTGGTTTTTGCCGCCGGCGTCGACGTCGGCGTCACCGTCACTGACCGTATAAGTACACCGTATAAGTACAAGACAGAAAAATAATCCAGGAAAACACTCTGGCGCACGGAAATGAACTTGGTACCTCTGAATCGTGAGTGCGAGGTTTTAATCACAGAGCCATGGAGGAGCACCTCCTTAAAAGTTGAAACGGCAAGCTATCTATATATACCACTCACCGCTGTTGACGGGCATCTCCGGGGGAACTATCGTGTTTTCAGCATTACCAGCAAGATGGCGCCATGAGCACGTGTCGCCACATCATCCCTACACGGTGGTGCGCGCTCTCTCCTCCCACGCGTGCTTCGCGCCCCAGAGAGGAAGGGGGCGACGCTCACTTGCGCGCCCTTATGTCGCAGTGGGGAGGATCGTATGTCTTGGCTGGCCTTGGGTTTTATTGGAACGATTCCGTTGTAGTTATCGGGCACGCAAATGTCACTGCAATCGTTGCACACTCTCCGTTTGCGAAAAGGGCGCGCTTTTCAGATACAGCGAAGTAACAACTGAGACAGACGCTTATTCGCGTTCATCTGTACCTGTAAGTACGTGTCGTGCGTAATTTGTGCGTGAAAAACGCGGGGGACGTTTCGATCTGCTTGCCATTTTGCACGTGACCTTCCAATTTGTTGCTATCGCGTTCATTGCTTTGCCTTTGCGGCAAAGCTGTGCCTTTTTAAATTTTTTTGAAGTGCGGAATCTTTGACGAGCGCCTTAATGTCAATACGCGAGTGGTTTTATAATACCGCTGTCAGACGGGCACTTTGATCGCGCTCAGGGCCGATCCGCAACGGTCTTCTTGAAGGTGACCAGCAAGCTTGTGGCTGCTACATGGTAGAGCCTAATCCGGACCGAGTTTGGCGAGACGTCAGCGAAATCGCGATCCCGAAGTAAGATAACGAAGCACAGATCGCGATCATCTTGATACCGATCGCGCAGGATGTCAATTAAATGTGAACGTGTACCAGAACCTGACCCGAATCATCCTGATCGTCCTCAAAATTTCACGAGTGAAAATGGTGTGAGAGATGTTTGAATAGTTCTTGGTAGATGAGTTAACCTCCATGAGATTCATACTAGCTCACACCCCAAACAGATCGACGTTTGAGATAGAAAAGGCTCAACAGGTCGTTAGCGCCCGGGTTGCCTCCTCTTCTTTCTGTTTCCAATATTTGTTGTTTGCATTATTTTGAATCGCTTTAAAAAAGTCTGAACTTTTCATGGGTCACTGCTAAAGAGCTTGTTGCATTACCTGGCTCTATGATCACGGCTGCTTTTTCACTACAGTAGTAGATCAGCACTAGTGCATTGATATATCATAAGTCAGTGAAGTGCGGTCGCTACTGTCATTGAAAATATCAGCGCGTGTTCAGAAACACGGCGTAACATAAACACAAGAAGGACCCCGAAAGCACGCATTTCTCGGGCGAAACGTTGCCTATTTTCTCAACCCGATCGATTTTGCTATACCGTGTAAAGACAGGGCAGCTCGGTATTTATTATGTAGGGTTGCCATTGAAATAGAAAGATGTGTACCAGGTAAAACACAAAGGAAGACGCTATATGCACATCACGCCAGAAGGCTAAGGTAGTATATCGTTCTTTTTTTTTTCGAAAACGAGAAAACATAAGCCAAGTGCCGGCTTAATGGTAACCCCTACCCGTTAATTATAGTGAGCGCACAGCGTTCTAGAACAATTCAGAATCATATTTACGCACTGACTTGGTAGCACGCACGCGGAGAAACTACCGCCAACCGAAGCAGCGAAAAAAAAAAAAAAAACTTGAACTTACCGAGCACGACTCCGGTTGGCGCCTCCACGAGGCCGCTGACCGAAGCGATGTTGGCCGAGCTAGCGGACACATTCGATGCGGCGGTCGAAGAGGACACGCCGGTAGAACCGGACCCGTGGTTTGAGTCTGATGGCGGTGACAAGGACCGCACCGCCACGGGATTCGCGCACACGGGCACCGGGTTGCCCGCGTTGCAAGGAGGAGAATGAGTTCCGTTGACGCCTGCACAGTCGAGGAGCAGCTTCACGCTCACCATCCTAGGAATCTGTCCTCAGATGATTACTTGCATTGAAATATTCTAGCTTCGATTCTAGAAGTGTTTCGTCCTCTGTGTCATTTCTTACCCATAAAAAATTGGCGGAAGATCCACGAGGTGAATGATGGTGAGATTGGGCGAAGCTCCTGGAAGTAATACCGTGAAATATTCTTCCGTTAATTCGCCCGATAAAAAACACCTGGCGTCTTTCGTTAAGCAGCTGGCGTCTTCTTTTTGTTTTCCTTTAAATACATCTGGCGTCTTTTCATTTTGCTTTTAGAAAACATATGGCGTCTTTCGTTGGTTTATTTCATCAATCAACGGCGTTTTGAACAAAAAAAATTTATTGTTTAATCACGCACAGGAGAAATCTCACCAGGCACTGCCTTGGAGGTAAACAATGGCTGCTACTGGGAATGAGAGACAGCAGAAGTCGGCTTTTAACACTTCTACTTCTACTAACGTTTCCTACTGGAACATGCCAATGGCTGCTAATAGGGAATGAGAGACAGGAGCATTCGGCTTTTAGTTAACGCGCACGCCGCGAACTTTTTTATTGTTCAACAAAGCACAGGAGGAATCTCCAACCGGCACCACCTTGCAGGTCAAAATGTAACACTTGTTACACACTACGACTACGACTACGAGGGACGAACGGGTGCCGCTTTGAGGAGCTTCGCCCCTAAAAACGTCAGGCCTAAGCGGAACGCGCTGCACAGTAACAGCGAAAGGCAAGAGTGGCTTCTCTAGAGCCCGTTCTAAACTCTGTTGTAGTAACGAATACATGTAAACCCAAAGGTCGGAAAAGCAATGGGAACTCACTCAGACTCACTAAAAAAATATATCTTACTCTGAGGGCTCACTCGAGCTCAGAATCATGAAATATTTTCTCAACCATCCCTCAGACGGATTAAGACTCACTAATATTTTTCTGACCCGGACTCACACGGGCTCAAGCTCCCAAACATCATAAAATTTCCTAATAATACACCAGAGGGAACTCTGGCGCTATAGTGTCTATAGGAGCTGAAACGCACGGCGCTTCAGCGAGCATGGGAATGATGGGCAGCACACAGCTTTGTCTAATCATCACACTTCTGGTTCCGTGTGTGTTTGTTTGCCTTGGAGCTGCTTTCTCAGGCAACAAAAATCAGCAAATGTTCAATGGTTGCTCTTCATCACCTTATTCTTTTAGGCTTACTATTTCAAATCGGGTCACGAAGTTCAAAAGGGTTCGTTCTTTCTTCTAAACGAAACTGAAACACAGCAATAAATGGAGCTACAAGGGCGATTCACCGTCCGCAAGTACGAAGACTAGGCAAATCCATGTACTACCCATCATTCCCATGGTAGCTGAACGATCGCAGCGCCAGAGTCCCCTCTAGTTAGTTTTAGGAAACTCTATGCCCAACATAGCACTGAGCAATACTTACTCAAATTAACGGCTTAGACTGAGTCTGAGGGAACCTGGGTAAGTCAACTAATTAGTCCGTAAGCTTAAAAATTGTTTATTCGGTGATATTGGTAATGTGAACGCCAACATTTTACACAATGGGTGCTCTACAATATCCCTCTTGAAACTTGTACTTTCAAGCACGAGTTATCAGTGGATTCAATCGAATAAGGACATTCATGTCACAAACATGACTGACACGGCATATTTTTATCAAGAACGTTTGATGAAAAAGTTTGTGAGGAGACCATAGCAACCGTGTAATATTTTTTATTGAAACAACATAATCAGCCATCTCGGCTCTAAAGGAGGTCCACAAGCTACACCATACCCAAGCTTTAGCAGGAGAACACTAAACCTCATTGAGAGAGACATCATTCAGCATATTCAGAGTTATTGTCTTGAGTATTTCGCTGCAAAAAAGACTATGAACCATCACCCCGAAAAGAACCCTCATTGGATCCGCAAAGCAGTAGCGGTGCGCACGGCGTTGACCCGGTTGAATCGGGGGTCGACGCTGGTGCTGGAGGAACCGTTTGAAGCAAAACTCGCTGTAGCGTTTACTCGAGTAAACGTTTGTTTAAAACGCAGAGACATGGGTGGCGGGACGTGTTGAAGACGCTCGCGCTCGGCTTCCCTGACTTGAGTCTCGTCGGTGTTACCTGCGCGTCATCTGCATTCCTGAACGAGATCGGTGTTCTTGACTCGCACCTCGTCGGTGTCGCTGGTCTTCCACTGTCGACGCTTGCGTTCGGCTTCCTTGGCACGCACCTCATCGCTGTTGACGTCGCCATTCGCGACCGCGATAGGCTTCGCTAACCGTCGCAACACCGGCGACAGCCGGGAAAGGTACGCGCACACTAGCGACAAGCATGCCCCTACGGCGTCTCGCCCGTCGGTGCGAATGCACGGCAAGCAGCGGCGCGCTGTCCACATTGTCGGCCCAACGAGATCCTCGAGACGCGCGCAGCGCGCACATGAGCCGGCTCGCGGCTTCTTCTCGTCGACAGATGGGGAGAGGTGGCGCAGGTGAGATTATGACCATGTGAGGAGGGGGCTCGAGCGTTGCGAGTGGTGGAAAGGGTGAAGAGAGAAAGAGCTGACACTATGCGAGCGCGCGGCAAGCGAGGGAAAGAGACGTCACCGCGCACTGCTAGGAGGGCGTGAGCTACTTGGCACCGCTCCAACACCTGCAGAGAGAGGAGCGGTGTGGACGGAGGGACAGCGTTACACATGCTAGTCAGAAAGCTTCTTCGCATCTAAAAACACTAAGACCTTATGTAAACGAAGTATGTAATTTTTAAACTCATGACGCCACTATCTCTACAGTTCTATTGAATGAAATGGGACCACCAAATAACTCTATTGGAAGCGAAGCAACTCTGACTAGCCTGTATAACGTTGTCCCTCCATCCACACCACACACCTCGCCGCAGGTGTTGCTGCGGTGCCAAGTAGCTCATGCCCCCTCACTCTCCCTCGCTTGTCACGCGTTCGCCACGTTTCAGCTCTCTCACTTCACCCTCTCCCCTGTTTGAAACACTCGAGCCCACTCCTCACATGGGCATCCCCCCCCCCCGTACCACCTCTCTCCATCTGTCGGCGAGAAGAAGCCGCAAGCTGGCGGGTGTGCGCTGTGCACGCGTCTGGAGAATCTCGGGGCGCCGATAATGTGGACAGCTCGCCACTGCTGTGGGCGATCGCGCCGATGGGCGGAACGCCGTCACGGCATGCTTCCCGATAGTGTGCGTGTATCTTTACCGGCTGTCGCCGGCGTTGCGAGGGTTAGTGAAGCCGATCGCGTTCGTGAATGGCGATGTCAACACCGACAAGGCTCGAGCCAGGGAAGCCGAACGCAAGCGTCGGCAGTGAAATACCAGCGACACCGACGATGTGCGAGTCAAGACAACTGATCGCGTTCGAAAATACAGAGGACGCGCGGGTAACACCGACGAGACGCGAGCCAATGAGGCCGAGCGCAAGCGTCTTGAACGCGTTCCGCATCTCGTGTTTTTGCGTTTCAAACAAACGTCTACTCGAGTGAACGCTTCGAACCGTTGTACCAGCACCCGTGTCGACGCCCGTTTCAACCGGGTCAACAGCGTGCGCAACACTACTGCTTCGCATCCACCAGGATCGCTTTGGGGAGATGGTCCATAGTTTTTTTTTCACCGAAAGCACCCAACTAGCTAAAAAGTGCTCCTTCCTATGTGTTTGGGGGGTAGCTTTTGTTCTCAAGGTATACGGGTGCCCGACTTTGCTTAGAAAAAAAGCCATAGCACACAGATTGCCAATTCGCGCATGGTTTGCTCCCGAAATGAAGATTGCAGCATGTAAAAAAAGGAAAACAAGACCTCGGTATGTCATTTAAAGCGCGCACATCAACAGATGCTTTCAATGTGGCAATTACCTGCAGAAGACACAATCGCGCTCACACATCCCTCTTCCTACCCTGCACCTCGAATAACTGCGTTGAAATGAGACATTATTACCTCGTGTTGTAGCTCTAACCTTTCCTACAAGTGCTATAAAAAAAGAAAAGACTGATATACCATGCAGGAGGATATACAAAGCAGCACAATGCTGCTTTAGGGAACCTCACAGTGCAAAAAGAAGTAAGAAACACAAAACAAGTACTCGTGTGCCTTCACGCTATGTATAGTGAACCACACATGTTCAAGAGAAAATACGGGCTTGACGTGACAAAATATAGTTGAAGGGGGAATCTTTTTTTAGTGAATGTTTCGACAACAAGAGTTGCTGTCATCTAGGGAACAACCCTGCTCCGAGGAAGACGACTCCTCCCGTAGAAGCGTTGGCTGCAATGACATTTCCTTTTTACTGATTTTTATATACAGTAAAACGGCATATAGGAATTCTCGACGACAATGAATGCGATAAGCATCAAATGCGCTGGCGATGTTCATCATGTCATATCTATTGGTATAGGGCAGCCGAATATTGTGCTTCGATTTATTTGCAATCCAAAAAAAAAAAACGAGTACTTGGTTTCAGGGTAGGACTGATGTGGCAAACTTTTTTTTTTGCTGTAAACTGCAGATGTAGATGCGTGTTTACGCAGCCTAAATTTTCTGCGGCTCGCGAACGACACCTGCGCAGAGGAAGATTGCGAAATGAGCACAGCTGGCTGCATACTGTCGCGCGTTTCGCATAAAAGGAAATAAAAATAAAACTGTCACTTTCTAAGGTGCCAACTTATACGGCAAGGAACAGCTGCAACTTGAAAGTAAAGAATATTGACTCGATTTGCCCTTATCCGCGATAGCTCCGAGAAGACGTTCGCTCACGCTTCTCGGCAACGACACAATAGGCCTCGAAGAACAGCTGTGCGAGCGCTCAAGTGACTCGTAGAGCGACGTGAATTCACTTCACGAGTTTCTCGTTTTTGTGGCGACTCTGTACGACAGCTAACCAAAGGCTGTGTAATCACCTGAGGCACCTTCACTAGAGTCGCTCTGGTTGATTCAAGCGAAAAAGATGGGCGAAAATAAAAAGTCACTTGTCAGATTTGCTATGCATCAAAATCAGATTGTAGTTTGCATAGTGATAATATCGATCGTGTATATATATATATATATATATATATATATATATATATATATATATATATATATATATATATATATATATATATCTTTACATGAAATGAAGTGTATATTAAAGGGGTCGTTTTTTCGTGTTTAACACATTATATTGTAACGGGGAGTGACAATACACCCGTGACAATATTAAAGAGATCTAACCGACAGTAATATGGCAATGGAAGTATAGTCGAAGGTATAAGACCGAATTGTAATGTAAATGTGAAGAAAGAAAAGTTGGTGAAAAGATCTCTCTCTCTCTCTCTCTCTCTCTCTCTCTCTATATATATATATATATATATATATATATATATATATATATATATATATATATATATATACATGGAGAGAGAGAGCCGCGATATTACTACTCTATTGTCACAAACTATCTGCCTAATGTGCCTAATGCCGTGCATTGCACCGTCAACAGCGGACAGCAGAAGCCACGTTCTTAGTCTCGACAACAATTAGGGTTTCATTACCGACTGTTAGGTATGAAACGCTCACCTTGCATTGAGGAGACTTTAGGTAATTGCGTCGGGCTTAGAGGTTTGATGTCCTGAGGTGAGTCCGGCATCTTGCAGCCCTGGTGCTGCGACGATGAACCGCCACTGCCCAGAGATGGCGTGGTGGTGGCGGCCAGATCTGCAAACATGAGAATAGAGCATTTTCGAATTTTACCGGGGGCAGATGGGTTTTCGCTCACAAAATGTCATCATGTTGAGCACGCAGTGTCTGTTTCACACGACAGCGACTTTGCTCCAACAGCAGTGCGGGCGGCTTCAAGTGAGTCCGGGAACCGTTTGAAAAATCGCTCGTGCCGAGATCGCCGGAAATGAAAAAAATTAACCTCCACGAGCAGCCACTCGAGAAGCACGTGACAGGGGCGGATTTTTTTGGCCCGAAGGTGCTTGAGCTCGCGAGCTGGTGGCACTTTTCAAGCAGATGACCAGCAGACTCTCATGAGAGAGTTGTGCTGTTCACAATTGTGGCAGTTTGGGCGTGTTGGTATGACGCGACCAATAAATCCCAAGCGCACAAATATACGAGGAAAAAAAGGCAGCACCTGCGTGTCATACCTTTTTGTCTTCATCTGTTTGTGCGTTTAGAATTTATTCGCGCTGCACTCCGTATGGTGTTGGGGAGACGGAACTACATTCAGTGTTTCACGTTTACGGCTGACACACCTGTTTCTTTTTGGTTCGTTTGTTTTTTCACTGTGGCAGAGAGTTCTCGTAGCTTGGTTTTGAGCGAAAAAATGGGTATAAGAATGACTCGACCTGTCTCGATTGCCTTGAGGCGGAAATGGAATGAAAGAATGGTTGAAAGTCGACAAGATAGCAAGATATAGATCAATTTTACGCTAAATTTTGGTGATGCGACCCCCTTCCGGCTACAGTTCTGGGCAGTTTTCGGACACGAAGTGAAACACGTAAAAGTGAGTCAGCATAGGGCATTTATGAGAATAATGGGGAACTGAGGTTCCCCCATAGGCAAAAGAGAAAACGGGTACCGCACAGAGACCAGAACCTGTTCACTGGTTCCGCGGTGGCCAAGGAGACCCACTGAACCATGCGCGCTTTCAGTAACCGACGCACTCTTCGTAGCGGAGAGCGTCGCCCGAAAACCGAAAAACACGACGAGTCTCGATGCGGCCGCGAAGTCGCTTACGTGCAAAAGAGGCTTCACCTCTGACGCGCGATCTATGCGGGGAGCTTGCCGCACGTTTGTTTCAAAAGATGGCGTGTCAAGCCAATCAAGTGCAAAAACTACGTTCGAGTAAATGAAGCTTTCCCCCTTTCTGCGCTCTCACTACGGGACATGCAACGCCTAAAAGAACAGCGGCCCAACTCTTTTTGTTTAGCTTCGTTGTGAAGCCGGTGCTCTCAAAGAATTCACAGGTTAAAAGCGAGTATATTGGTAAATTGCGGCTCGAACACCCGTTTGTTGTCTTAATAGGCGTGCGCTGATCTTATGGGAATCCAAATAATGACAACACCAACGTCAAGCTAAAGCCAACCACTATCTGCTCACTTCTACGTGCGCATTTTGGCAAAAAGAGAAAGAAGGCTGTACTCTGCATGTACTGGCATTTGTATAAAGCCAGAAAAATAACTGGCGTGCTATTCACACAAGCACTACGCCTCACTAGTGGACCAACCTCAGAACAACAGATTAATCATGATGCTTGTTCAGTGCCTGTGCAAAACAAACATTTTTTATCATTAATTTGGGAACACAGGTCCAACTTTGCACTAGGGGGTCACTAATTTTCTGCCAAATTGACGGTACATAAGCACGCTGGCATAATAGACCGTGTGCGATAGTATTACAGGGCAATACCAGGTAGAAAGTGATTTCCGAAAACGCTTATTTTTTGGCGCAAGTGACCAAGCAATAAACTCATAAAATGAGCAATGAGCGCATGCGTAAGTAGTCAGCATAACAAAAATATAATGCAATGCATGTTCGATGTGTCCATTAGTGTTGCGAAATGGGCGCCTCCATTACATTCCAATTTGATTTTGCGGAATTAAAACTTGCCGCAATTCCATTCCTTTTAATTCCTGGGAATGAAAAAAAACTCGGCCCATTCCCACTACGGGAGTGGCAGGGCAGTTTCATTCCATTCCTGTAATTCCTCAACGTACCAAAGATGTCCTAATAGGCTTATAGAAGTCTTGATTGTCCCGATAAAGTTGATGTCGTCAGATGCATTAAGAACTCCAAAAGTGGGCAAACCATGTTTTCATTGTCGAGGGATAGTACTTTGGTGACAAATTTCGTGCAGTACAACCACTCTACTAATAATATCCATGGGGACACTTCTGTCACTACCTATTGTATTTGCATGGTCAGCATGTTTGAGTGAATGGTCATCTTATACTATTGTTTTAGTTTAAATGTGTTCATTCCTAAACGACGACATAGCCTATTTGCATGATGACAAAAGTAGTGCTCAAGACTAAGCAGTTTTGTCACGCATCTGAAGCGGTCGTGAATATGGAGAAAACTAAGATTTGGTTGATGAGGAACAAAACCTAGATATAATGCTATTAGTTGCAATGGCGTACCGAATAAGAAAAACAATGGGCCACCACTGTAACTATGCACGACGGATACGAACGGCACAGAACAACGGTTACGCGAAAAGAACAGAGATATTTTGTAGCAAGGCAGTATATATATAAGGACAAAATTTTAGTAGGCCCATTGCTTATAAGTGTACTGAACTTGAAATCCGCCAAGCCATTGAAAAATATTGCTTCACTGCTAAATTCGGGGCTCAGACTTGCTAGTGTTCAAAGTTTGAAAAAAAAAACAGCACACAAGATAATCGAAAACAAACTTTTTGTTTTGGAAAATGACGTCATTTCATTCCCCTTCCACTCCTCCAATTATTGTCCCCATTCCATTCTTATTCCATTCTAGGGTAAAGAAAATGTGGAATAATTTCGGAGTCATTCGAATTCCGGCGTGGCAACTCTGCAAGACTGATATTTATACACTTGTGCACCATTCTCTTTTTTCTTTCTTTTTTTTCTCCACAACTTCGTTCCACTGTTTATGACCTAGTTTTACTTTTTATTTAATTTACTTTTTTACTCGGTAATACGCACGCGTATGTTGGAGCTCATTGATTGTAATGTTGTCGGCAAGCTCTCAGCCATCATTCACAACGGATTGTTATTTTCACTGGCAGTGGAGACCCCATGAGGCAGCCAGCCACAGCTACTTAGAGAAGCAAAGCAGCAATGTTGAGAGGGGTCACTGTTGACACAGGCGGAAGAAGTATATCTATACATATATCTAGACACACGATATCGTTTAGCAAAGCGGATGGGGCTCGCTGAATTAGTCTTCGTTATGCCAGCGTGGGTTATCGGCTTCGTCGATTCATTTATTCCCCTCTGACTACACGGCCCCAAAATTTGAGATTGATACTAAATCTCCCTCCCTCCCTTTTTTTTCGTTCATCTCAAAGTGCCGCTTGTTAGTGCCGCTTGTTAGAAGTGTGGCAGCCCAAGCTGCCACACTTCTTTGTTATAAGAGCTTCAAAATTCTCTTTATGGTATAGGCTGAATAGGCTGTAGTTCAGTAAAGCCACCTGCGACATCTGAAATACCTAGTTTGTCACATAGTTGTCGCGAAACTGATGAACAAAATTCGTGGGGCTCTTTCAGAATTTTCAGATTTCTTCGCAGCACAACGAATAAACATGTGCGTACACTCTGCGTTCAACTATTGCGCTTATGGAGTGCAGCTGCTCCTTTACGTGCGCCTGAAGCATCCTCGAGGAACAGCGTACTTATGCACACGACTTTAAACAGCCGTAGACGCGTGGCCTTACATCTCTGCGGCCGTCAGCTTATGAACATCCATCACAGTTTTATGAATCTCTAGTATTTTCTACGAAGAAGTGCCTATGCCGGAGCAGATCTATAACCACACATATTGCGTCGCTTACAACTACATAAAGTGCTATTCCAGGCACTCGATTCTGATATGGCCTCAGTTTTTTTTAATACGCTCCAGTTATTGCACATACTGTGCACGTGATGCTTTTATGTTTAACAACTTTGGTATCTTTTTTCAAGCTTGTAAACGACAAAATACTACCGGATCGGTAAAGGGTTATCATTCAGAACTCGGCTCACATTCAAGAGAAGTTTCCCACAAAAACGCTTAACGTGACTGTCCATCGTTATTACCGCGCTCACCGCCAGTACAGGTTTGTTTCGCCGGTCAGCGGGACATGGTGGCGGATAAGAGGGAGAATTTCGTTAACAGGGGCCTCTTCTCTGTAGCTTCACTGAAACCTCTCCGCATCTCGCGTTTCTCCTCCGTACAATGTTCCATACGGAGACGCCGAAGATGAGCGCAAATTGATGACTCGTCACGGGGACGAGAGGGGGGAGAAGCTATCGGGGCTTCAACTCTAACCACCCAATATCGTTCGTCATCAGCAGCAACCAAAATTACGACAATCTTACGGTAAATTGTCTATTCGTCGAGCGAAGAGGAAGGCAGCCACACATCACGCGGTTAAGTAACATACAGAGGTGGTTACGAATTTCGTAGTCAAATAACGTCGTTCAGAAACCTTTCCACACTTATCATCAAAACGCAACATGCACAAAGCAGCCGCTATGGTAATCTGGTTACGATGCTCGGCTGCTGACCCGAAAGGTATGCGTTTGATCCCGGTCGCGGTGGTCACAATTCAAAGCATGCAGTCCCATCTAATGTGTGATTTCAGTGTACTTTTCCCAAGTTATATAATTTATCCGGGGCTCTCCACGACGGTACTCTCGTAGCCTGAGTCAATTTGGGACGTATACCGCACAAACCAATCATCAATAATAATAACTGCTGAGGTTCAACGTCCCGAAACCACGATGTGGTTATGAAGGATGCCGTAGTGGAGGGCTTCGGAAATTCGCGATGTGGTGTTACTTGACATGTACCTAAAGCTAAGCATGCGGCGTTCAAGGCTTTATCTGAATAATAGTTGTAACTATTATTGAGTTAAGTGACTCAAGAAGAGTTATAGTCGGGCCGGAGTGCAATCTGCGAACGCAATACGGCCGTGAAGGGCTCTAAAAATTTCGACGACCTGGGGTTCATTGACATGCCCCTTAATG